CTGGCCATTACTTGGATGGCTGATGTCCTTCCTCACTCTGCCTGTGAGGCTCTGCTGGCTTTCAGGTCAGCCTCCAGCCCAAAGAGAGATAAAGTAAAAGGAACATAACACTTCAAATCTCATCTCAGCATCTCTTCTTTGCATCCTAGAACACTTACCAGAATGCTGCCTGCTACACAACTTTTGAATTATGAAAACAAGAAATAGTGGTGGAGGACCTTTTAAGTCTTATGCTGTTGTTCTCCCCTGGCATTAATCCAGAGCACAGAGCTGCTGATTACACGTGGTATCAATAGAAATAAAAAGGGAATGAGTGTCTGGTGTAGACATACTCATGTATCTCTGGAATAGCTACTCTGCAGTAGCTTTAACTTGTCAGGTCTTGAAGCACACCACACCAGAGGGAGAGGCTGAGGAGCCCCCCTTCACCAGGCAGTATGAAATTATGATGACAGAGCTGTTAACAACATCTAACACCACTGCCTGCACCACAACAGCTCCTTGCCTGGATACACATCCTTCACTGGAGGACAAGGAACACATGGTGGACCCCTGGCAAGGTCTGCTGGAGAGCTCAGTAACCCCATCCTGGAGATTTTCTTTAATTGTGTGGTTCCAGGAAGGAAAGGCAGCAGCACAGAGAGCAAAACGTGATGGCATCAATGTGTACTTATACAAATTCAAATGGATTATCCCAAAATTAAGGGGGGGAGGGGGATGACATTTTCACACATTGTCATGGTTGTCTGTATCTCCTCAAGTAATACAGAGTTTTGACATGGTGTGTTCTTCTTCAGTCTGTGCACCCCTCCCTTTTATGATACAAATCAAATGAGATTGTCAATCTTCTCTCTGCCCTGTGACTGCTGGAAGGATATAATGAGAGCAATATTTTGGCTTCCTGCAACTGTCTCTCAATTAGATGGTGATACTGAAATCTGTTCTCTTTAGACTCCCCTTTCTCTCTTGATCCTTATCTGGAAAAGTGGAGGAGGGGAAAGACATATAAGATACGGAAATTCTTGACATCCCTGGAAGTGTTCAAGGCCAGGTTGGATAGGGCTTGGAGCAACCTGATCTAATCAGGTCAGCAAGGTGCCCATGCCTGTGGCAGGGAGTTGGAACAACATGATCTGTAAGGGCCCTTCCAACCCAAACCATTCTATGATTCCATGAATAAGATTAAATTCACTTTCTTAACAACAGCCTGGCCTAGACACAGTCTATAGTTAAGCAAGACATGAGTATTTTGATGTCTGTTTCCCAAACTAAGGGCATCCTCCTTTTCCAAGGCTTGCTCACTCAGTGTGACAGTGAGCTTAAACAGACTCAAACACGAAGCCCAGTGTTTGTTGTACTATAGTAATTCTCATAAAATACTGCTCAGTGGCCATAAAATAGATCACTTAAATACAGGCTGAAATGCATGATTTTATCTTAAAGGAGAAAATAAATAACTGATCCAATTAAAGCAAGGAAACACTCATTCCTTCTTACCTTTCTTATTTCCAGTATTCTCTGCATTACCAATAGGACCTCTATGCACCATTTAAATGCTGGAGGAAATCATCTTTTTGTCAGTAGAGCCTGAACTAAAGTCCATCTTTTCTCCTTAGACCATGACTGTGACGTCTTTACTGATCACTGTGAGGAGCTGCTGTTTAATTAAAGTTGCACATGAAGGATCTAAATCAGTGAATTTGTATCTCTGATTTGGAATAAATAGCTATTAACTGCACCTAGTCTAGTTTACTGAACACCTTGTTTATCTGACTTATTATAGGAATATTGGTAAGATTGTAGTGGCATGTGGTAATTTTGTAAGTTTTTTATATTCCATTAAAGTCACTGTAAAGATTACAGCTCTTCTAAGGTTATAAAATAGCTTTTCATTTCTACAGTGAATGCTTTGTGAAGAAAAGCACACTAGATAAGAGGCTTTATCATGAAGACTTTATTGTTCAAGGCTTGGAGTAATTGCAGCTTCTGCTGGCATTAGTCAGGACTGTGAGTGTGAGGACGTCTCAAAAATCAGCATCTAAGGCTATTTGAACCAGCCAGCTACTGAGTTATTCCATGCTCCTGCTGGATGAAAATAGAGTCCTCTTTAAAAATGAACAAAACACAATAAAAACCTCACAAACAAACAAACTTCAGCTCTGCTCTCACATGGAGAGACTCCCTTTGACATTTCACCCAAGCTATAGTTCATAAAAAATTGCAAATGAAGCACTGGGAAGGTGAAACAACCCTCATCATCTCCAGCCTGCTCATCCTGAGCTCCTTGGATCTGATGTTTACATCGCTCAGGATCAGCTAAAAAGCAATGATTTGGTCCAGTGAGAGCAGCCTCTGAGACAGCCAGCGAGGCTCAAACCCTGCTCTGGTGGGTCAGTTCTACTGGTTAAACTGGTGCTTCAGGAGGGAAAGGAAAATGAAGTATTGCATCACAGGATTTCCTTTGAGGAATACACAAAAATCTTTATGCTGCCAGGTCTACACTTTCAGCTATGGCACTGAAACTTCCTACATAAACAAAAAAACACCATAATTGCACAGGTCAAGAAGAGGAATATAAATATGTCTTTAAACCAAAAACCCATCAGGAAATTTTTGAGAGTCTAAGCTGCCCTACCACATATTCTACCTCAATGTACTTTCCTCAGTAGGCACAGCCAAATGAGTTGATGCAGAATAATCCCTGACCATATCACACAGCCAAAAAACTGTTCCAAAACAAGAGTGCATCTCCAGTAGGGATATGGCATCATTCAAAGGCCAGGTAAAATTAGGAATGGTTTTTGTAGGGATCCTACACTTATGCTCATATTTTGGTATAATTTTGGTTGGTTTGTCTGTTATTTAAACATGCAACTTAAATATTAATAGGATTAATTTAGTTTTTAGATTAACAAAGAATCTTACATGTTCACACTTCTCTACATGGTTTGTCTGTGAGCAGGGCTGGGATGTAAACACAAACTTTGGACATATCATTTCCCACTCCTAAGACTGGCTTTTGACCTAGAGTCCATAGATGTTTATGTTGGTATAATAATAATGAATAAATTATTATCCAGGACAGTAAAATAAGACAAACTGCAATTTTATGTCATCTAGCATTCATAATTCTTAAAATAACATCAATTTTATTCCAGATTTTTAAGTAGCCAAATGTGTGAAGTTGCTCATAATGATTGCTCATAACACTGTAGGGTAAAATTTTATTTAAATTAAGCAATTTAGGTTCATTTTATTATCATCTGGAAGCATACAGATGTTCAATACTATTTGATGAACAAATTTAAAAGCTGAAAATATTACCAAACATGCTAATCCTACCACTGACTATTCATACCTACCTGGACAAAAACAAATATGTATTTAACACCTTTTGTTTCTCTCCACATATTTCATGAATAACAGAATACATACAAGACACCTTCTCTTGCATTTTAGTAGAGCTTCTGCCATGCAATGGGACACTGGCTTATTTGATGGAGCTGGTAATAGGGGAAAAATGCTCCTTGGTATTGACAGTTCCCTCCCCTAACAAAAAGCACAATAATGTTTATATCTTTGTCTATTTGTCGGACATGTTGTGTACTTTCTTTGTTGTGTGTCTCACAAAGGCAAAAAGAATTAATTAGAGGAAAACAATCTAGAGGAATTAAAACGGAGGTTGCACACGCCTTCCTTTCATTAGTCACTTCTGCTTCCAGAAATCAAATGGCAGAAACATACATTCCTCTTTCAGCCAAGATTGCCCCTTTGGGAGTGAGTCGAGCAGTTCATGTTAGAAGAGTCCTTTGTTCCCTTCACTTAGGGTATCGGAACAGTTGGTAATCAGGGATAAATCATCCACTGTTTGCCTTAATTTAATTTGTATTTCACTCCAGACCAATGCGCTCACAATTGCTTGATAAGGCAAATAAATAGAAGAACTCAAATTAGATACAAATATTAATATCCTCATTGGCTCAGAAGGAAGCAATATAGCAGGTGTATGAATAGAGCCTGGAATATTTTATTTACTCAGTAATCTGAGAAAGGGGAGCAAAGTTCAACCCGAAATTCCATCCAGGGACTGTCTCCTGCAGGCTGGTAGTGCCTGACCCACAACCCAAACCCGTTTCTAGGCTTAGAAATCAGCAGCGAGCAGTGATGATCAACACCCCATTCATTGTCTTTATGCTGTTTTGATTACTTCTTTTCTCATAAAGAAACCTGACAGCTCTTGTGTGACCACAATCTATTCAGGGAAACTGAGAGTAAACTGGCTCTTACCCTTTGCTTCCAGCTTGTTGTTGTGCCTTTCCGTGCAATCACATCACATCAAAGTGATGTAGCTATTTGTTTCTTTTTTTTTTCCCTAAAGGTCTCAACACTGCTTAGATTCTGACGATCTGAAATCACTGAGTCACCACCAACAGACATTTAGAATTACTCTTCAAAGTGAAGATGAAAATACCATTAGCCATTGTTCCAAAAAAACAAAACAACAACTAATCATAATATTCTATTTATACACTAACGATTGGGCTGTGTCCCCTCAGCACCACCCTCTGTGCCCACACTTCATAAGGAGATTACGCTTCTCCCTATGAAGTGAAAATTACCTTCTGGTGGGCAGAAAGCGTTTAATTATGACTCTGCTTCCCTTGTCTCCATGGCGATCCCATGCAAACAGCCTGCTTTATTAGCGCTCATTTCCCCCTCCCCACAAAAGTCATAAATGAGCTGTGCGGGCCCCGGGGACCCCCGGCCGGCCGGACCCGGCACCGGCCGCGCCCCCGCGCTCACCCGGCGGGCGCCCGATGGGGAAGCCGCGGGACGCGCTCGCTCTAATCCCGTTTGTAGCTCAGACGCTGCACCATTTCGGCACTTACTGCAGGAAATATGTTCCCAATTGCTGCCCGCCCGTGGCGGACGGGCTCCCTACAAACTGGCGGATGCTCCCGGCGCGCCCCGAGCGCCGCCGGCGAGAGCGGGGCCGTTACCTGGGTGCTCGCCGGGGCCCGCGGGGTCGGTGAGGATGCTGGGGTCACTCTGCGACCTGCCTCGCGGGAGAAAGCAGCCGGTCCCTTCTTCCGATGCAGCCATGAGGTGGAGGGCGGGAAGCTCAGAGGAGGAGGGAGGAGGAGGCGCTCATGGAGCCGGAGGCGGCCGGGGGACAATGGGGACGGGGGTGCGGCGGCGGCGGCGGTGGGGCGTCAGCCGGGCAGGACCAGCCTCGGCAGCATCTTCCCCGGCGCCGTCGGCAGGGCTGCGGCGCGGCGCTCCGCCGGCTCCAGGCGCTCAGGGGGCAGCTCCGGGCGCCTCAGGGGGGTGGGCCATGCCGCCTGGCGGGGTGGGGAAGAGCCGGGGCGCGGGCCGCCGGCCCGGCCCCCCGCCGCCGCCGCCCCCTCCCGGGACGCCCCCCCGAGCGCCGCTGCCGGAGTCGCCTCAAGCCGCCGCGCTGCTGAGCGCATCCATTGGAAAACATTGGGATTCTCCCATCCTGCCCCGCGAGTGCCGCCTGACGTCACGGGGGGGCGGGGGGGGCGCCGCACCTGCACTGCACAAAGGCGGGGGCTCCGCAGGTGCGCGGGTCCAGCCCCGGAGCGTCACCGGCCCAGAGCCCCGCCCTCGCTCTGCGGGACCCGCCCGTGGCCCCGAAGCCGTCCCGGGGCTTGTCCCGCCCGTCCGGACGCTTTGTCGCTCGGGACGGACCGGCGCGATCCCCCGGCACCGGGACAGCCGCGGGGCCGGAGTCCGCCGCTCGCCTCCCCCCGGGGCTGGCACGGGACGGTGTCCCGGGGGTAAAGGTGTCCCGGAGGGAAGGGTGGCCCGCGGGAGTTCCCTCGGCAGGACGAGCGGGGATTCCATCGCTCCACGCCCGCCGGGACCCCCGCGCAGCTCGGCCGGAGCTCCCGCTGGGCTGCGGCGGGAGGCAAAGGTGTCGCACGGGGACCCCGCAGAAACGGGATGCTCCGACTCGGGCTGAACAGCTTGGTTTGGGAATTTGTTTAAAGGGAATAACTGCTTTTATTGATTTTTTGTTGTTGTTGTTCCTCCCCATCCTGTGCAGGGTGCCGGCAGGGGCGTTGCTGGTCTGTACCCGGTGATGCAGGTCAGGTGTTCTTGAAGTTTTGACCTGTAAAAACCAGGGATGCTTTCTAATCACTCTCCCGGTGAAGTGCTGTGGTCAGCACTTGCTGGGATTGTGGGGGTTCTCATCTCGTGTCTGCCTTAAACTCTGCTTTTGTCTCTGCATGGAACTGATGCTGAGGAATACACTCATTTAGATTTCTTGGGCTGACTCAAGAGCAGTGGTTTACATGCAGCTGACCAAGTTTCTGTTATGGGACAGGTGCAAGTTTGCAAAATTTTAGGGATGAACCTACCTTTGTATCAGAAAATTTTCCATCAATGCAATCTTTCATTCCCCTCCACAGAAGGTTCAGGTTGGAAGGAACCACAGTGGGGTCACCTGCTCCAACCTCCCTGCTCAGGCAACCTTCCCTCCCAGAGAAGAGGGCACAGGATTGTGTCCAGACAGGTCTGGAATATTTCCAGCATAGGGAAATTCCCCAGCCTCACCTGCACAGCAAGGAAGTTCTTTATGTTCAGGTGGAACTTTCTAAGCATCAGTTTTTCACCACTGCCTCTTGTTCTATTACTTGGCACCACTGAGAAAAGCCTGGCTCTGTTCTTACATAAATATGTGGAAAACATTTTGCTACTCTTCAATAAAGAAAATGGTGTTTAGCCATTTCTGAAAGCAGGGACAAACAAAGCAGTGACGTGGGGTTATGTCTTTGTTATGTTTTGAGGGGATTTAACCCAAATCTATCACATTGAGACGTGTGCTTGCAGCTTTTCTTTAAGCAGGAATTTCAAATTTTAAATGTGTGCACACATCTGATTTGGGAGTCACTTTTGGGCTGTGTGTCCCTGAGAGTCAATCATCTTACTGACCTTTGGAGGAAAGAAAAAAACTCTGTGGGTGTAGATTTAGTGGTGGGGCTTGATAAGAAAATTCATCCAGGATTCCATTTGGGGAAGGCCTGAATGTGGCTGTTGGGGTGACACCCACCTGTGTCTGGAGTGAGCTGCTGCATCCAACAATAAGTGGGAATATTGTCCTGAGAACAGAACTCCAAAAAGGTTTGAAGTAAAATATCAAACAGTTTCTGGTTCAATGAGCACTGCCCCTTCTTGCTGTGTGTAAGGTAAATCTTAAGGAGAAAGAAGCATGGGGAGGTTTAATCTAAGCTGTGTCATCGTGCCATGGAATACATTGAGATGCTAAGTGAGATAATGAGCCAAATCTATTTTTAGTCCTAAAAGGAGAAGAAGCAACAAGTTTTAAATGGTTTTTCTCAATATAGCTTTTAGGTCATGCTGGAAAATGCTGATGGTTTCTAGTAAATTCTGTGAAAGTCTGTTTGCACTAATCAATAGCTGTCTTCTGTGATGAAGAATGATACTGATTTCATGTTTAAAATGTAGGGTTGAGAAGTTTCATATCAGATTTAAGCATTTGTATAAGACCGAATATATTAAAATATTTTCAACCTAAGAAGATATCTCCAAGACATCTTGGGTAGCTACAGAAGCACAGAGGATGAGAGGGATGTATTTTTAACCAGCTCCCATCCTGGTTGCCTCAGTAGAGGACACTTTACAGGATTCCTTTGGATTTAAAATATTGTCTGGTACAAAACAGTCAAAGAGAGCTGGAATCTGCCTTGCTGTTTTCATTTAGTTATAGAGCATTTTCTCTCATGCCCGACAAACCAAGCATCAAGAGGCTCACTCTGGGGATAAATCCCTGGTTTGTGGTTTGTGCCAACTGATGGAGCTGCCCCTGCACCTTGTTCTTCCCAAAATGAACCATCATCATGTTTGGGAGAGGAGGTACCAAAAAAAAAAAAGGGTGTTGAATTATTCAAACTCACATTGCTAAAACATGTCTCTTGTGTTAAAAGTAGGATTGTCTGCTTGTCTTTTAAATTTCAGAGGTGATGATGATGTGTCTATGGCACTTTGTACTTCCTTACCTTATAGGAGGCTCTCCATTCCTTCTAGGGCAGGGCTTTAGAGAGGGAAAAATAAATGTGAGGCAAAGTCTTGTCTTCATGTTGAAAGATCAACACCAAGCAGGAAGGAAGCCTTTTCACAGAAGAAAATAGAAGCTGATGGAGGCAGGCACTAACTAATATATTCCAAGTATATTGACTTGTAAATCCCTCTGAAATTGGAATTAAATTGGAATGAAACTAAGACTGCTTCTACCTGTGGGTACAAAGCACATGAAAAATTGCCCTCAAATTTCCATTTACTACTCTATATGATTCTGTCAGTGTCACAAACAAAACTATTTGCAGGATCAGAATAGCTGTTAGTAGAAACATGACTCTCCTTTTGTTTGGTTTATTTTCTCAGTATAGGAGTCTTGTGGTAAACAGGTTTTCAGCATTTTCCCAGAAAGTCCAATGATCTGATCTGTTTTATCTCTCAGAGGATTTCTAGCCTTTTGTATTTATGGCGAAAAGTTACGATGAAATTTTTCTAGCTTAATAGCAAATTTCTCTGCAATTGGCACCCATTCAGTTGCAGGAAAATACTTCTTGAAATGAAATATCCACCCAAGCAACACAGAAGAGAAAATAAATTTTTTATAATTTTATTTATTTTGATGCATAGTCCACAGCCAAACCAATGCATGTCCATTTGATATGTCTTTCCTCGATAATTTTTTTTTTTAAATGCAACTATATAAATGGTATGGACGATTCAATTAGTTTGTTTTCTCTCTGACAGACAGCTGAATGCCTGTTGTATGAGCTGGTTATATAAAGAGAAATCCAAACTTATGTTAGAAAGGAATGATTGTCTAGGGAGAAAGAAAAGAGGTGAGTCATGTCAGTGCTGTTTTTCTCGAATCAGCAGAATATTAAACAACCTCATTTTCCTTAATCTGAAGCCTACATGTGATCTCTGAGCACCACTGATGTGGGGGTTTTGTGTTGTTATTTAGAAAAATGAATTCAGGCTACATTTGGATTGACAGTATCAGCTTTCATGTTCAAATTGTTCTGATGACCAAGGCACAGACAGCCTTGCTAGGAGCAGTTTTCTTCGATGCAGCAACAGAAAACATTTGTTCTGCTGCTTGTGAGTCTTAACCTAGTTTTTGAGATTTTTATGCCAGCTTGTTGTAGCTCAGTGTGCTCACCATAACAGAAATGAGCATCCCATGCTTAAAAAACTCTTGTCTCTATTTACTTTGTTGGGGGCTTTTTCCCCTCAGATGCTTTCTTTGTAAAGAGGACACAGAGCCTATTTTGAACCTTTGTTTGTCAAGAGCATAAATGCATGTCACCAGGAAGAGATAAAATATCACCCAACAGTCACAACTTTGTAAGTACAAAGACTTGTAACATGTCTTCTCCAAAGTACTACTACAGAAAGCAAATAAAAATGAATAAGCATCAGGGGCTTGTTTATTGGGGGCCTCATGTGCACATTGAGAATCTCTGATACTCAGGAGCTATTCTGGCAATGGCCCATCTGATTTTCATGTTTGCTTTCCTTCACAGCTCCAGTCCTCACTCCCATTTTACAGATGAAGGAACAGGAAAAGAGGCTGGTAAAAATCTAAAGGAGGACCCTCAGCTCAACTCCCTGCCCTGACACCCAGCTCTACTCACGTCCCTCTATGCTGTGATGATGGGAAGGGGAACCTGTACCCTTAGTTTAAATTATGCAGCTTATAATAGCAACAGCCCCATGTGTGCAGAATGAACTCATATGTGCAGCATGCCCAGGGCAGCAGAGAGCTCCAGGATGTGGTCACTGAGCACTGTAATTGTGCACAGGGAGCAGGGAAAAGGCAGCTCTGTGGGGAACACTGCAAGGACTCCTCAGGTGTCGAAGCCAGCGAGGTTCCAGGTGATGTGCCACATAAATGTTGTTTGTGCCAGTTTGAAGGGAGGAATCTCATTATCCTCTCTGGGTTTTTTTGTTCCGCTTAGACCTCAGGATGTCTGAGGAGAAGGGATGTACATACAAATTCCAGCTCCAAATCTCCCCCCTTTCCACATTTTGGGGAATTA